TCCCTGTTTTATTTGGTTGGATTATCAGATTTCTTGCTTTTATTTATGAGACCGTGGTTCATGTACCTTCTCTGTGTAAAAACAATATTAGTCATGTTTAATTATATTTTCAGATTTCTTGCTTTATTCCTAGCATATAAATGATTGATGTCTTGAAACTGAAAAAGTGGGAGCTCAGTTAAGATGATTATGCAATACTAGAAAGACAAGGTTCCTACTTAGGGGTAACGGTTTCTGTTAAAATACCTGTTGATGCTTCTTGGGGATGGAGGAAAATTTTGAAGCTAAGACAACTAGTTAGGAAGGTCATTCAACATATACCAGATGATGGCCAAGACATAAATCTTTCTTGCCCCTTATTAGAGGTGTATGGCAACTCTATTGTTCAAGATGCAAGGCTGCCTTCCCAAGCAAATTGGCTAGAGTAATAAATGGTGGTTTTTGGCAATGGTCCCCTACAAGATCTCCCCAACTAGTACAAATCCAAATGCACTTGTTTGATTTCCACCCAAGGGAAGGAGAGAAAGACTCAGTATTATGGTTACCTTCCTCTTCTAGCTCTTTCAAAACTGGACAAACCTGGCACTGATAAAGGAGTAAACAAGTCAAGAAGATATGATATTAGCTGGTTTGGTTCTCTCAGGCCATCCCCAACCATAGTTTCATAAGTTGGCTAGCTATTCTTAACAGATTGAGCACAAGGGTTAGGCAAAGAAAATGGACTCCTACTATCTCTGATACATGCATCCCATGCAACAATAATTTTGAGACTAATGAGCACCTGTTTTTCAAATGCAATTATGTGAGAAGAGTATGGCAGCAACTCAACAGTATGCTTGGCATCCCTTTCCCCAATTCTTGCAGCGGCATGCCAAGTTGGATGGGGAAGAAGATTAGAAGGAAATCCTTATATTGTGTTTGGATCAAGTTAGCCTAGAATGCTGCAACTTATCATATCTGCATGGAAAGGAACAAGAGAATTCACCAAAACATTTTTAAGATTTACAGTGCTATTGTCCATGAAATTCAATCTGATGTCAAGTGCAAGATCTTGAGTTTTGCTCGGCCAACATCCTCCATTTGCCTAATGGCCATTGCGTATCAATGGGGCCTGAGATAGTGGTGCAAGGCTAATTTTGTAGAGTAGTTACACATATCTGTATATTTTGACACAATTTGCTAGTACTCATTCTTTTGTAGCAACTTA